GCAAAAAAAAATGTATGCACCCAGGAAAAGTGAGCCAGAATTACCAAACGCGGCATGCAAATGTGGTTTGGGGAGTTGTGTAAATGATTCAACTTCCAACCATAGTCAGCACTGGGCAGCTATACAAGGCGAGTCTGAAGTGAGCAAGAAGGGCAGGTGCGGTGAGTGACCAGAATCTGCAACCGCACTGATAGCTTGGATACGAGACACTGTAAAGAAAGATGCCTTTAAGACGTACTCGATGACGTTACCACAGTTGTCAGACTTTGAGAGGGGTCGCATCCTAGGGCTAAAAGAGGCTGGTTGGTCGAACAGGAAGATCAGCCGGCATATTGGTAGAAGCAATCTGGTCGTCGTCTATTGTTGTAACCAGTGACTCAACGAAGATATAGTCAGTCACCATAGTGGCTCGGGACATCCCCGGACCACGAATGCGCGAGAAGATCGCGCAGTTAGAAGAGCTGCTACGTCTACACCAACAGTTACGCTGTTGTCGATTCAACGCCATTTGCCAAATCCAGGGATATGACTCACAGAAGACTAGTTGACACTGGCCTTAAATCTGGACGTCCGTTAAAACGCTTGCCATTGACACTCCACCATAAGAAATGTCGTCTTGCATAGTGCCGCTCTCGCTCAAGGTGGACAGTTTCCGATTGGAGAAATGTGATCTTCAGTGACGAATCACGTTCTCCTCTTAATGCTCACGACCGCCGCATACGTGTCTGGAGACGGGCAGGTGAGCGGTCCAATGTACTATTTGTACAATGTACGGCACAATGCCATAACACAGTGTGTGACAGTCTGGCGAGAGATCAGCTGAGACAGATCTTCACCATTAGTCGTGCTGAAGTACTCTGACTGCTTCCACATACCTTCACGACATTCTGAAGCCGATCGTACTGCCTATGCTAACAGGTCATCCAGGTTCTGTTTTCCAGCAGGAGAACCCTCGGCTACATACAGCACGACTTTCCCAACAATGTCTCCGACATGATAATATCCTCCACTGGCCTGCCAGGTCTCCAGACCTGTTCCCGATCGAACATATATTGGACATGTTGGGCAGGCAAAGTCAGCCGTGTACGTTCCAACTCGCTAAGCAATTGCTCCATTCGTCGCACAATCTACCGCAGAGACATTGGTAACTTAATAGACTTCATGCCCAATCGAGTACCGACTTGTATAGTTGCCAGAGATGGCTTTACCAGTTACAGATTTTCTCATTCTTTGCATTGCTACTCGTAAATAAAACGCTTTTTTTGGCCCCAGTTTCTGATCATTTGTTTACCTACTTGAACATTATACTATTGTCGAGTTTCATAGTTGTGTCTCATTTCTTTCTGGGTGAATATATTTTTTTGCAGCAGAGTGCATATGGTGAGCCAAAAATCCTTGGGTATCGCTGTAGGTACAATTTTTTTAATGTTTTTGAAACATTATACCGAAAATGTTTTAATTCTATTTCCCTGGAATATTAAGTTGCACGTAATTAGTACAAACTTGTGTGAAGGATCCACTGATCTGCTTTAATATTATTTTTTATATGTGATAGATATGTAACTGTAATATCAATGCAGTCAAACTTTATAATTCTTAGTGGCCATTTGCTATCCATTGCTCCCTTACTGTCCCTGGAAGCAGTAATGCATCTTGTATCTCCACAGCGCCCACCGGTTAGCGATAACATCCACTTAGGAAGTTATACTTTAGGAGGTAACCAGTGGACGTGAGTACGTTGATGCTTCGAACTTTCTTTGCAGCTGTGTTACAAGCAAATTGTTTTCTCAAGTATTCTTTTAATGCCTTGCGTTAAGTAGAGAATCTATTTTAATTCCTTTTGCTTTGACTTTACGGCTGTTATATGAAACGCGACTGTCATCTACTTTCTGTTATTCTATAAATTTATTTCCTATTTGTGGAGTATCATGTGTCTGATGAATACAACTTTCTTTGTCTGTAAGCACGACACCACAGTCAATTATTCCACAGCTCGATATCACCTCAGCTGTACTCCTCAATTATGATGTACTGTGGAGTTAATGGAAGAGCTAGGTTTAATTTACAGACTGTTTTCCGATGGTTACCGATCTGGAGAATTCCTGGAACTCCCTATCACACCAAAAACATATGCTAAATACACACATCCAAAAGCAATAATACGGAGGATTGGCTAAGAAAAGCTGTTAACGGTGCATCTTAGAGATCATACCGTTGTTCAATGTGTTCGCCCATTATTTGCGGCCGCATATCTTAATCCCTTGTTATAGACAACAGCGCGACGAATGCATGCGGCTGACAAGTTTGCACAATTCTAATAATCGAGAACACCATCTAGTACGAAATGAATATCGGAGTCTATCAACTTGAAACCCATCCAACACGTATGGAATATGTTTGAAAGATATTTAATTTCTCTCCATGACTTTACCCACAAACTTCAGGAACTAGGAATATGTTTGCTCCATTGAATGGACATAAATATCATAAAACACTATTATAGTATGCTATTCATTGCATGATTCACCGTTGTACGGCACGTATCCAGCAGAGAATGCCATATTACTTATTTTGCCGCCAAACACCCTATTTTTATTTTTAATAATTTCCTTTGAATTTGCCCCCGCTAGTGTCTTCACCATTTTCTGTAAAAGTTTCAATGATTTCGAAAAAAAATTTTTTATCCGCTTTTTTTGTCTTTGTTCATTAACCTTTAGACAAGATTTATTTATATATAAAATTAACTTCAAAAGAAAGAGAAAAATTAAATCCAAATAAATCTGAAGCCGAATCACGCGCTGTAAGGCGCAGTAATTCAATGCTAATAATTAAAATCAAACCACAAGAAAATCACATTTAAATATCATATTCAGTTTGGCAAAATAAGTTGGTATAAAAAACGCAAAATTTCAGAATGTGCAAACAATTACTCTATCAATTGACGAAAGTGAAAAATATTTTTAAAATCAAAAACTTTTGGGAGCTTAAATTATTAATTTGAAAACAAAACAAAACGAGAACAATTGAGAAATTTCCTGATAAACCAAAGCTGTGTCTAAGCGAAACTCTAATACAAAAATCGCTTCATAAACAGCAGAAATGCAAAGAAACATTTTACAGTTTTTTCTTTTTTTTTTTTTTTTTTTTTTTATTATTATTATTATTATTATTAAAATTCAAAGCAAATAGACTTTGCACTTCCCGGCTCATCTTCATCAGGGGCAGGTGTTATGAAAAAAGTAAAACAAAAATAGCCTGTTTCTGAGATGACAAAGGGCACATTCCAGAAATTTAATAAATTAGTTATATTTTTTAATAAATAAATTTTATTCAAAAAAATTAATTTTAATATCTGTTTTTACTAGCCCTACCCCGACAGACTGTAAATGAACGCCCAATGTGGCTAAATTTAAATAAACAGTAAATCATAAAATGAATGTAAAGTCAAATATAGGAAAAAGAATGTAGTAAGAAGAATAATTTAATTTTTTTTAAATTTTTAATAGTTTTGAAATGTGTCTGCAAACAAACACCTGTAAAGGGAGAATGGTGGTTTTTGGACAACAGAGGATTTATGTGTTTCTTTTTTCCTAATATATGTTTCATGCTCTTTAGTGTGCAAATGCTCATGTCTCATGAGCGTGGCCAATAGAGGATTTGTTTCCCTCCTTCTAACATATATCGAATGTCTATTAGTGTGAGAAAATCCCTGCACTTGAGCATGAGATATAAGCATTTTCGAATTATGAGGCATGAGGCATATGTTAGGGAAAACGAAACCCAGAAATTGCCCAACACTGCTGGTCTAAAAGTCACATTTTCCATTTTCCTTCAACAAAATCATCTTCTGTTGACGAATTAGATTTTCAGATCTAGCTACAGGCGTTTCATATTTGTAAAACTCTTTCAGTTCTAGTTAATGATCCCGATTCTAGTGTCTTTCTCTTCAACTTTTAAAGAAATTTTATCATGGTTGTTTTCCTTTTCTGTCAACAGATGACGTAGTAGCTTTGTTTCTTTCCTTGAATGGAAATTTCTCGAAGTTTTTGGTCTGTTGTTATCGGGTGAGCATATGCTGTTTCTTCATCATTTTCACTCATGTAGCTGAAGAAAATTTTTTTCAGTTCTTTAAAACTAGTCCCGGTAAAAATCATGCAACTTATTGTGATTCTTTTTGATTTAGTATATTTTTTCCGCGTATTATCTTATTGCCAAAAATATTTAATTTCTTTCTTTGGTTAAGTATTATTCATTTCATACCGAGAGCAACTCAGTAAACCAGAAAACCTGGAAAGAATCATAAATGTATAAAAATATTATTCCCATATGTAGCCGTTGAACATTAATGGCAAATTATTAATCAAAATATTTCACGTATTCAGTGCATGCTGGTTCTTTGCATTTTTTCGCAAATGTAGTCAGTCCATCTTACACAACTTAGAAAGTTCTCCACGAAGGCATTCCTTCCCTTACGCAGATAGCCTTCGGGGCTTTGCCTTAATCATATAAACGAAACCAAAACCATCTTACATAACGTCTGTCATGACATCGCGGTAACGTTTTCTTCCAATATTTTAGAAAAGTGATGTATATATTCTAGTCTGATTACAGAAACAAAGCAGTGATTATGAAATAAATAAATCATATACTAACAAATTTTGCTTTTGTTCGTGAGAGATTCGATAATAACTATCTCTCCAACAGATTTTAATATTTTTGCCTTAGAATAATTTTAATAAAAAACAAACAAAACATAAACATGTGTTTCAGTGTTCCTGAAGATGTTAAATACATAATGTGTTCATTTAACGTCGATTCCATATAAGATGTTGCTGTAGGAACACAACATCGATGGCAGGTTTCACATTATTGAAAGAGAAAAAATATTTATCATTGTCTATTTTATTTTGAACATAAAATATTAAGCTTTTTCATATTAAGAATGTATGAAGATTGTATGGTTCTATTTGTAACATACTAATAACGCATTCAATTTTCAGTTACGAAACGCATATATCAATAATTTAGTTCAAGAAGCTGAATTCACCACCAAGAGTTCACCGAAGGTAAAAAAAAATTAATATATTTTTCCTTATAAAATGCTACATGATCTGTATCTTTTTCTCATTTTGTAAAAGCTGCTTTTATATTGAATGATTAATATCAGTTTGGAAAATGCCAGTATCGAACGAAGGATTGTGAAGAATACAGATACTTTTGACTGGCAGAAGCATTTTTGTTCAAAGTACCGTATAGTGAAAATTCCGCCATGCAGAGGGTTACTAAATGGAAAGCACCGATATATGCTGCATGAAAATTTCATTAAGTTAAGAATTATTTATGAATATGAAATTGAGTGCATGAATGGGTGGAAGTCAATAAATAAATCACAAAAGACAGTTATAAAATGATCTAATGAGGTATTCGGATGAAAACTATTTTTATATCTGCACATAATTTCTATAATTATTTATACCATTTATCCTATCATTTTGTCAGTGCTCCAATATCAATCTCATGAAAATTTTTGGTTTTCTAGCTGAGCCACATTGTGACTTTGCCTTGAAGATCGTTATCAACTGCAAAGAGATTTCTCCACCCACTTGTGTACATCTTTACTAGACAAACACTTCTTTTCATAAATAGGAAACATTCCTATATGAATATCTTTCACATGTAGAACTCCCCCCCTAAAAATGACGGATAACAACGCGCTGCGTCTCTCTTGTATAGCCATCGTTTGCATAGTTCTAAAGGCATTTTTAAGCAGACTTTTATAATTCCATCATTATTCAAACTGAGCTACTCCTCTGCCACTGGTACTTAGTAATTAACGCAATGAAGATCATGAACCAGGATGGTTCTGCTGCTTAATTAACATACATGGAAAGTACTTCACTATATTTTCAAATACATCATGCTAGTCTGTGACATATTTATTGCCTTACCCTCGTATTTAATTAACCAGAAAATTTAATTAATTATTCGCATATAAAAAATAATTAGAAATTAACCAATACAAACTTACGCACACTTCAGGAAAGGGTCACAAGCTAATCACATTAGTGTCCAAACAGTCAACTGAGATGAGTTTAATCACTTTGTAATGTTTCTGACTACTTTACCTATGCTTAAATTAGTAGAAACCTTGTTGAATTATGTAACGACTTTTTGCTGAGTCTAAGTGTGTAAATAAAAGGTCCAGAAAAGGGTTAAACTCACCATATAATATCTCAGACTAAGAACATAGATGACTCCTCTCTCGCGCTTACAAAATGTCCTCCACTTGAGCTTTAACTTAGGATAAGAAAATAAGAAACTAATCTAATGCTAAATTAAACTCAACTTAGCCGAAGCTGTACACAATTATCTAACGTAGTTGTCCTTTAACGTAACTGGCGAATATGAGCAGGCACGTTCAATACGGCTGAGCGTATTTAGCTTTGAAAAGTCATTTACTTTCAACGCAATTTTAAAAACTCATTCTGGTAGTCAGTTGTAAGTCGGAAGCAAGAATTGAAAGGAAAGGGTTTCAAAATTAAAAATAACTGTTCGAAACGTAAAATAACTTAGTAAAACTTATCTGAAACTAAGTAGAAATTGTAAACTGTGGATTATAGGTCATAAAAAAACCCTGTGACCAACATAAATTAAATCTTAATATAATTTATTAGTGATTTACTCTTTCTTTTATTTATTAATTCTGTTTTCGTTCCTAAGAAAAATAATTTATAATATGTAACTTGACTACTAAAATATATCAACATTTTGTAGTAAAGTCTCAAAGTACATATAGCGTCGGTTTAGCGTATTTTAAATGTTATATTTATTTTCACTGGTTACTTGTAAGTTTGTTACTTAACCAATAAAAGGATACATTTTAAAGCCTTCAAAGGTATACTTTTATCAACAAATTTACCATGCTTATATTTACTTTTGCCGATGAAGTTGACAAATACGATAGGCAAGCTGTTTATTTAACATTTTATCTGATAATGAGCAGTTACAGTCTTAATCTTTCAAAGATCACGAGAACTTTTTTTTAAAATATAATAACTTCTTACTAAATTTGAGATAAATTATAAATTTGTTTTAAATTACAGATGCATAAATTATATATGAATGTGAGGTGTACTTCATATATACTCTTACTAATTGTTATGTTAATTTGTTAGTCTTTCCTATTATTTCCTTTTTCTGTCTTGTTTTCCTCGCCAGGATGTAAATGAGTTTTTGTGAACTAGAGTGCTTTTAAACTGAAGTAGCGAAAAGATTAGAGGGCGCACGTTGTTATTTCAACTAGCTGTTTGAACCCTGAATCTTGGCTTCGCATTCTTGCCGCCGAAGTTCATTATCATGCCGGTGTAGGTTTCTGAGTCCACCTGCTAGGTTAAATTAATTTGTGCAGTCATGAGTCATGAGTAGGTTATCTTTAAATTCAGTTTAGTTTAACCATTATCTTTAGTTTTATCACCACAAGTGGGTGGTAGCTTTGTAAGCACAAAGCCTGCGCCGTCTGTAAATAATTGAGTTCAATAAAATGGTATTTTACATGCTTTCCCTGTTGTATGCATCTTCTAGTCTAGCGATAAGTCGCTAACAGACTTGCAAATAGGTCTAGTAGCAGTTTATGTTAGCCAAGAAACTAGACCTTACAATGAAATTTAATAAACGTTGTTTATCATTTTCATTTAGGGTTCATCCACCCATAGGCCAGCATCCGACCATGATAATGGTTCATCAGAGGGAAACCATCAGTCAGAAACATCGATAACCCAGGACACCACCCATAACAAAACTAATGGCAAAAAATGTTCTCACTATGAAAATTACTCAAGGACTTCTGCCGATATTCCTGATGACCTCATTATTACCTCCACACAACCTCCAACACAGGAATTTTTTGTCCGAATTCGTGGAATGATATCTGCAGCTAAAAACCGTCTCAACAGCTTCAGGTACAGACCAACTCTCCTTGTCATTCCAGAAGATGATTATTTTTATCAGGATTTTAAAGAAAGAGATGAAGCATCTGGAAACAGAAAAACGACTTTCAAGAAATTCAACGGCAAGACAACCAGCTCTCCTATCACAAGTAAAATGGAGTCAATTCATGGATCCAACCTTGGAGCAGCCATGCTGGAAGCTAAATTAGCTCCTCCATTGCCACCTCCACGAAATTCGAAGCCAAAGAGCAAAAAACGAGCTCCTTCTCCACCAGGGGAGAGGATTTCTACGCCAGATTATTCTCGGGAAACGCCATCACCTGTCAGTTTGAAAGACTTCTCGAATAGCATGGAGAGAAAGAACGGAAGGATAACAACAGTGAACTCCGAAAATTATTCAAAATTTGATCTATTCCGACTTGATCTGTATGAAAAAATCAACAGGATGAGAGAAGGTGGTAGCACAGAAAACGAAATTGCTGTTTTGGAAATGAATTGTGAACTTAATCGAATGAAAGGTAAATTTTCAATATTTGATTTATATACCAAATTCTTTTCAAGCCACTAGTTTCATCACATGAAGTTCATTAGATTTCAAATTCAAATAAATTATTCTAAATTTGAAATAATGCATAAATAATTCTGAATTTTAACATCTATAAGATTTAAATAAGCAATTCTATATTTCTTAAATTTAATTTATATTTTTTTAATAAAAAGGATTAAACATCACTAGGCATGAAGGATCACGTACCCATGTTGAAGCTCCAGTATTAGTATTGGAATTTTTTTAGACTTGGTTATGTTAACTATAAATATGCTACATATTGTTGCGTGCGTACGGGTTCGTTATGAAATGAATGCACAAGTCCGATGAAAAATGAACAAAAATTTATTATTATCACAACAAAAATGCTTAAATTTTCTCAAATTATCATGCAGTATTACAATATCTCACAGTAGTTATCTTTTAACTACTCAAATGTCCAATAGAACGTAATTCAAAACAGCTAAAGAACGCTAATCCGCGACTTCGCTACAGTCAACAAGAGCAGTTTTCTAAACAACAACAAACTAAGCAACTCCTACAAACTGAGAAGGTTTTCCTCCTTTTATAAGATTTTAAAATCACGCGCTAGAATTTTCCAGTACTTTCTGGAAATCAAAAAGAGATATTTAGATTTACTTTGATTCAGCGCGAAAATCCGACCATATTACAACAGACGACTTAAACAAAGGGGGGAGTATCAATCTACTGCGTTATGTGCACAAAATCTTTTGTTCCAAATTAGTACTATATAAAGATCCACCAGAGGCTGAGTGAAAAAGCGCAATGAAAGCTAGTAGTTATCATCTATCGCGACTGGATGAGCTGGCTGCATGAGGATTTCGCTGTTTTCTCCGTGTATGAATGTCACCACCGAAAGAACAAGGCCTTGTCACTAGAATCGTGACATCTCTAGTACTGGGTAAAGCAAAGAACGTACTCGCACCTAGTTAATGCTGTATAAGTTACAAATGAGACTTGTTTCGCTCCGTGAAAATTCCCCTCCCCTTAATATCAACATTATAGTCTATTAATTGAGCATAATTCCTTTTACGTTATCAAATTTAAGGTATTTACTGAAGTTTTCTGTAGTGACAAATACGTTTTTAAATTTTAGGTTCCTTTTAAATAATTCAAATTTTGTTGCAATACATAAACTTGATAAACAAATCTATAGCATAGCAACTATTACACGATTCATAAAAAAAGTTTATTTAAACAGCTTGATACTTAACTATTTGTTTCCAGTCGAATATTATTTACACTCATGTCCATAAATTAAGGATAATGCAAAATCAGGCAATGGAAGAGTTAGAAGCAAAACAAATTTGACTTATTTGTTTTTATTAAACAAAAGGTAAAGAGCAAATAAAGATCCTATAAGTTTGATATTATTAAGAAAATTAGCGATTTTTTCTCCCTGGAGCAAATTACAAAAAAAAACCTATTTACAAAAAACCAATATTACATGGTTGGTATGATTGTTAATACATTGTATGTCCCCCAGACATGCAATACAGTCCGTACAACGCCCAAGCATGCTGAGTATCAAATTATCGATCTGATCTTGGGGGATATTACACCACTCAAAAAGCAATGCTCTCCGAAGTTCCGGTAGATATGTAAGAGGAGGTTGACGGGCTGCAACTCGTCGGCCCAGCATGTCCCACACGTACTGTACTGGATTCAAGTCCGGTGAGAATTCTGGCCAGTCCATACGGGTGATATCCTCCGATTGAAGGCATTCGCTTACGTTGTTTGCACGGTGAGGACGGGCGTTGTCATCCATAAACACAAATTGCGCGCCCACGGCGCCCCAAAACAAACGTACATGTTGTTCCAGAATCACGTCCCGATAGATTTGGCTTGTCATGGTTCCAATTTGAATATGCAGGTCAGTTCTGGAACCCAGAATAATTCCACCCCAAACGAGCACTCCTGCTCCACCGTAACGGCGTCGTTCAATGAGGTTTTCTTGGTGGTAAAGGGTACCTGGAGCTCTCCATATGAAATTCCGGCGAGAATCAGACTGCAAGCTAAATCTGGACTCGTCGGAAAACATCACACAAGCCCACTGTTTCGGTGTCCACAATGCATGCTCTCTAATCCAGGCTAACCGCAGGCGACAGTGAGTTGCAGTAAGTGGAACGCATCTGACATGTCTACGAACATATAGACCAATCTGCCCTATGCGTCTGTACACGGTCTGCCTTGAAATTGTCGTACCAGTGGCTGAAGAGAGCTGACGAGACAGGTCTGAGGCTGTACTCCGCCTGTTTCTTTTGGCAGTAACTGCCAAATATCGGTCCCCATTCGGCATTGTAACTTTGGGGCAACCTGTGCTGTAACTTCTACTCACATTACCATCATCTTGGAATCGTTGCCAAAGCCTGGAGATGACACTCTGGGCAATTCCAAGTTCGTCTGATACTTCCAGTTGGGTACGCCCACATTCCAGACGGCCGATAATTCTACCACGTAAAAAATCATCCAAATGCGTCCTTTGTGTCATAACTATTCGGTTATTGCACTGAAATGCTTATAAAGCGCCTGCCAACAATTATACTTCTTTGTCTGTATTCCTTATATATCACTCTCTTACACTCTCGTCATTGTGACGTACCATCGGTGTCATCTGGTTACTTCCTGAAATTTGCATATGATTCTTGAAGATGTTTGTAGTGATTTTACAGGTGATATATTTATTTTAGAGTTCGATTTCCGCGTGATTCCGAATTATCCTTAATTTATGGACATGGGTGTACTTGAAACATTGCAGTGTTTCTGCACAATAAAGAGTAACTAGACTTATTAAATGTAATACATTTTAAGCAATTTTGAACTTTGAGTACTAACTCCAGATCGTAACACAATGAAGTCAATCAAGACTAATACCTAGTCATACACTAAAAAAGTATCAAGAACAATACCTAGTCATATGCTAAATTAAGTACTGAAAAATTATTTTCAAAATTTTTTGGTGTTTCAGAATTATCCACAATCTGTATTGCTTACGCGTCTAAAAATTTATATGCATAGGGAAATAGAATACAAAATAGCAAAGAAATATATTTATAATAATATATATATAATTGAAAAAGAAATTGTAAAGCTAACAAGTAATTAGACGTAAGACCTATTTGGTCTTAAAAATTTTTGCGCATAATGCTTCAAAAAGATATGAAATAATAGTAGTAGGTAGAAACATTGCAGCGATCTTGCTAAAAAGTTACCAGGAGCTGTAGCTCCACGAAATATTTCAACGCTGTATTACTAAAATATAAACTAAGAAGAAATTTTTGTCTGGAAAAACTGGAAAAAAACTGAAAACACGTGAAAAAAACTGCCAAAATAAATGTTGGAAGACATGCTAATGCACGAAAAAATTAATCTGACCGTTGTGATATGTGAAAAGTTAACACACATAAAAATAGATGGCTGAAAAAATATATATATATAAGAAAAGTTAATACATATAATAAAATATATAGACTGAAAAAAATGCCAATACATAAAATGCAAAAATTAAAATGAAAACATAAATTGCAACAATAGAAAAATACAATAATTACATAGCGGAAAATGGTAAATTAACCCACTCGTACCCTCAATTGGCTTTTCAAGGGGAAAAAACTGAGTGTCGAACTAGGTTAAATACCATTACGCGTTTCGCCGAAACAGACCATTGAAGCTCTTGTTTAATGCGAAAAAATTTTTATAAAAAACATGAATATTCCCGAATAAATCTTTTTTGGAGCTTCACTGCTCTGTTCCTTTTTCCCGACGCGTCCGCTGAAAAACACATTAGGGTATTAAAAGTAATTGCAACTCCGAGCAATGTAAAATTAAAATTAAAATAAAATAAATAGCGGTCTGCTATTAGTCAAAAAATTACAACAACGTACGGGCTGGTCCTGTATAGCTTAAAGAAGATAGAACTTTTATAAAGAGAATGGTGCTCTAATCAAATAAAAATGCAATTAAATTTGCAAGAAAACAAATGTCGTAGGGTCTTATTAGGACCAAAAAAACACAGACAATAGAAACGAAAAAACTGACCTGAGAGGTGCCGTCCTTTGCATCCGAAAAATTTTTAGAAAAAGGTGCAAAACCCCTCCGTGTCCAACCAACCTTCCTTCTCGTCGTGTGACGTAGGTGGGCGAAACTATAAAATCTGCATAGGCCAACGGGCTGAGATTGTAGTTTGGCGGGAATTCCTGTCTCCCCCTTCTTTTATAGAGGGTGTGACAAACGAGAAAAGACACGGAAAGAACTCAAAATGGCGTCAGTCAAGTTGGTAGAAGAACAAAACTGCTAAAAATAAGTGAAAATGGCTAATTCAGCTAAAATTACTTATTTTTGGCCACAAAAGAAAGAGTAAATTGGAAAAAAGTCATTTGTTAATAAAAGTCGTCATTCTTCAAGCTAGAGGGCGGTCAAGCTACTATGAAAAATGAAAAGGCCCGATTTGTTAATAATAGTAGAGTTTGGCCTTCTAAGTAATTTAAAACTATTAAATAATACTATTAAAGTATAGTGCCAAAATCTTTGGAGGAAAGAAAATGTATTTAGGAGAATAATCTGTACATTTATATAATTTTTACATTAGATTATCTGAATCAGCCATCCACTTTATACCGTCCCATTGGGCTTTAAGCATAAAATTTCATTATCCAAAACAAATTATCTAAAAATTGGTAAGGCTAATGCCAGCTTTTTTTAAGGTATTTTTAATTATTTTAAGAGGAATTTGGTTATTTTTCAAAATTGTGACGAAGTAAAGTATTTCTTCTTGTAAGTGTTCTGTAGTATTACATATTCTTTTTATTCTAAGTAGCTGTGAAAAAATTGTGTTGATGATTCTTTTGGAAATATTAGAATTCCAGTCGGTTAACTTTAGTGTAGAAAAAGTGAATTCTCTCCTCTTGTCGTAGACTTTAATAAAATTGTAATCAATAATATTTAGGCCAA